AAGATTGTGAGTAAAATCCTATACATATTCATTCTAGCCTCGCGTCTATAGAATCTACCTTGACGCTCGGCTGTACTAGAATACTTCCCCGCTCGGTATGTATTATATTATTAAAGTTAATTGACATAAAAATGGGAAGTAAAAAAATCATTAGTACAAAAACAAATATTGTTTTGGCTTCGAAACATACATTTTATCATATTTTTACATTGACTGCAACTCATTAAAACTATAATTATTGCTAATTACGGTTTGCCTGAACAAAACTAGTTTCTAAATTTTTATTTAATTACAACAATAGGTTTAAATAGTTTTTAAATATACAGAAATATACAAAAATATACAAAAATATACAAAAACAAAAAAAACTACCGGACAAAAGTGTTATAGCTATCTATCTTGGCCCTAAAATGCATAACTGGCTTCCATATACATTTAAACAAATTAACACTCTAAACAAATTTAAGAGAGATTTAAAACAATTTATATTTCAAACTTCGAGAGAATCATTGTCATTGTCTTGGTTCTTCTTTCCTTTTACCGCATCTCTATTTTTCTGAATTTCTATTTTTTATTTAAATATATTTTTTATATTAGAATTTTTATTAATTATATCGGAACTCTGCATATATAATTACCTATAAATTTTAATTCTAATCATTACTATCTTACGCGCCTCTTTATACATGTATTTGTTTATTTTGTTCTTTTTTTTGTACTCACCCACAGGCCCTGCCTATAGTGAAGTATTCTTTTATTTACTGCTGAATTTATTTTATAATTATGTACACACTTGTAAATTTCTAATTGGTAAATAAAATGTATTATTATTTAATAATAATAACTCTCCTGCCAAACGGAACCCCCAGATATTAGATTAGATTTTATATCGATTTAACCTAAATTACCTTAATCCAAAAATGCTTTATAATAGAGCTCTTCGAAGTTTGCGCCTTCAAGTCAATTTTTTTTAACAACTAATACTAATTGTTTGACTTTAAAAATATTTTCAGTTTATATCGGTCAAATTTTGTTGTTTTGCCAAAACTGACTTTGCATTGTATTAAATTAATTTCTAAATAGAAATAAACGCATAAAGATCAAATTAGATTTTCTCGAAGAATCCTTACAGTTTACAAATCTGAAGATAAAAAAATTATAATTGAAAATGTCTGTTGTTTCCCCCTTGTGAAGGATTTTCGGATTAAGGTAATTTAAGTTAAATCAACATAAAATTAAGTCTAATATGTGGGGGGTTCGTTTGACAGGCGAGTTCTGGGACACCCTGCATATTTCGAATTTGTGATATTAATGAAATCAAACAATAATATTAGAATAAAGTGGCTATATTACGGATAAAAATCCCATACGAGAGAACTCAAATATTTTAACAAAACATTTTTTTTATAAATAAAACTCCTGGCAAGATTATTCAGGTATTGGGTCCTTTATAACAGTGCTCATCTACAGTGGCGCTGGGAAAAATAACAAGAATACAACGAAGTTAAAAATAAAGATAGGATATTTAGGAAATTATTGGGCAATAGTAAATAGACTAAAAATCTATTAGAATGGGACTTGGGCGAGCAATAAGGAAAGATCACGGTTACTGAACTCCGAACCAGTTGGCCCCATAATACCAGGTAGGACAAAACTACGATAGCACAGTGTTGCAATGGACTAAAAAAACGTTACAATGTAAATTAAAATAATTTCATCTGTTTTCAAAGAGAACAAACATGGACTCAAGACTGACCATTGTGGTGCAAAGCTATCTTCACTTACATTTGTACCTCGTTATGCGTAACATGACCAAGTGCCATTTCGTTGCTTTTGAGATAATATCGGCATCTAGTGGTAGTGTAATCTAACTATAAAAAATAATGGGCTTATAGAAAGAAATAATTAAAAACGCTAAATGCCAAATGTAGGTACAATCTTGGAGAACAACTAATATCTTTAAACACGAGTCGCCACTGTTCACAAAACTTATATTTTTTATCATAATTCGAATAATTCAAATACAAAAAATAAGAGACGCCCCTGTTGAAAGTTTCGAGAACAACAAATTTAATTTAACTGTATCGGTTACGTTACAAATGAATAAAAACTTTCCTATTTTAAAACTGCATTGAATTTAAATTTGGAATTTGGTAGATAATTTGATTTGTAATGTTTAGGTAATTAGTACATTCTAAAAGTTTTTGCGGCAGTTTTTAGTTAATTATTAGATATTAATGTTCAAAGGTTTGTCAATTATGGCATCGTTATGTACACATCTTTATTTCAGCCCATATATATTAATAACCAAATAGGAACATACTTATGTGCCATAGCATTTACTTGTAAATTCGAAAATAATCGTGGAAATAATATTTTTATCTAAGTTTTATTGACACATTTAGATAAAGAAATACCATCAAAATTCAATATGTTATGTTATTAATCAAATGATCTTGGATTAGTAATCTAGTACCGGAAAAAACAAAACAGATTTGTTTAAAAAAAAATGTAAAAACTTCGAGGATACCAACTATTAACTTGACACCCAATAAACTCGGAAACAAAAAAGTTTCACCAAATTTAAAAAAGCACGTCAACTTTTATTCATAAGGGGACGAATTGTCATATAAAATTCATACCCAGAAATCCAACCTCCTGGACCCCGGTAGCAGCTCTCTATTTTTTTAAATGTCAAAGATGGTCAAGTAGCACATCATTTGAAAGGTAATTTTATGGAGAATTTAACAACATGACTAGTAATTGCGCCGATTTTAATTTTAGCGTCTTCAGGATAAAAAAAAACTTCTATGTATTGTAAAATGCGACACTTCATTTGGAAGCTAATTTTATTAGCGATTTAATGCATAGCATAAATTTTTTATTTTAGTTGATTACGATTAAAGTTCGTATTTCTTAACTTTAGAGGTCTGCACGATTTTTTAATTATTTAAGTTCAGGTTTCATTAAATTATATTTTATTAAAATATGCATTAATAATGACTATATTCCAATACAATTAATATTGTATTGTGGAAATGGGAATCAATAAATGACATTGATTATTCCCACTGCATCATAACAAATTTGATTTGGACACTGACTCTATGTAATATTACAGGGTGTAACAAAAAGATGTACAGTAAATTTAACAAAAAAAAAACTAAATAAATAAATAGAATATATTATAATAATTAACTTTATTAACAGTTTCTGGGATCTAAAATAAGCCGGTTTAAGCTAACTTGTTTATACAAAAAAAAAAATGAATAGTAAAAAACGTAGAGAATGTTAAAGTTGAAAATGATTTTTTTTCCTACTCTTTTCCTACACAGTAATAGTTAAAAAAGGCTATTCAAAAACTAAGTGTTAAACAAACTCTAAGTAGTGATATGTATTGTTTGTGTACTCTAAAAATTAATAAAGGATTCGTGAAAACTCCATCACAAACTGCCTACGACACCCTTGCTGAAATTCTGGTGAAAATCAAGAAATGGGACCCGCAATAGGAGCAAGATGTACCGATACTTACTTTAACAGCAGATCAGTTTACATCGAATTAACTAAAAGATTTGAAAGTGAAATGACACCTTGAATATTATAAAAAAAAAATAAAAAAAAAGATTCTTTGGGACCAATGGAAAAAAGTACAATACCCTGCAATTGGAAGCTACAACTAATGTTTAGGAAACCAATGATATTGTCTCTGATATGCCGTCATGTGCAACAACATCAAAGATTACAAGAAGCAAAAAAATACTCTATCTAAAAAAACAGGTTTGTGTTTTTTGCGGCCAAGCGTCAACCATTACGACACGTATCTAATGAGTCGTCGGGACATCTCTTAAAAAAAGCGGTTGAAATATCTAAAAACCTAGTTGTTTCTGTGAGATTATCTGAATGCATTAGTTCAGGGAATGTTTACGCTGTAGACATATGCTATCATAATAACTGCTGGAACAACAATGTCACTAATGTTTTAAGAACAAATAAACGGAAAAGTAAGGCAGAATAATCATTGAAAGTAACTGGATCATCTGTTGAGTTTCTTAAATGGAAATTTAGGCTGTGTAGCTGACCTGCACAGCCATTACCTGAATATATGTCAATCTAACGAAATATACATAGAAACCACGCAACTTATGTCTAGTAAAGATTTAAAATTATTTTTCAAGAAGAAATTCCTGATATTATATTCTCTGCGCCCAAAAGAAAAAATGAATCTGAAAGAGTTTCACTTAAACCTACGGTAGATGCTTCACAAGAAGGTGGAGATCAAATAACTAATTTAAATGTATTACTGAAGGCAGCCCTTATTTTAAGAAAGCCGTGTTTGTCTGCACCAAAATAGACTTTCCAAGGTTCTCTCGATGATAGTGATAATATTCCTGAAGAACTTCACCTATTTTTTTCAAATGGTGTCTTTGTGGTGCAGGTGAAGTTATTTCTGTTGTGGAAAGGCAATCAGAAATAGAAAACTGTGCCTACAGGCTTTCACAAATACTAATATTTGAGTGTCTTACTAAAAATCAATAAAAATCCAAGTCATCTACTCAAGTACAAAAAAGCCTTGAGTTACCTTTGCAGACGGGATTGGGTCTGTGGTTATCGGCCGCAAAATGAAGGTATTTGGAGGTTTAATTGGTACAACTGTAAAACCGGAAATTCTAACCAAGTTTTTCTAGAACATGCATTATCTGAACTATCTATCCAATATAGTGCTTAATAAACTTGGTAAAAATAAACCTGCTTTTCTCCACCATGACATCCAAAATCGAGAAGAATATGCGACAATATAAAAACTTAAAAAAAAAACCATTGAGGATTTTACTAATCCATTTTCGTATGATTATAAATATAGTGACAAAGCGCATCGCTATGGACGTATATAGTTTGTAAAGATATATGTGCTATGTCAGACGTAGGTCAGAAAATGGAAAATAACTTTTTAGAAACCCGGATTAAAAATACAACTACCAATTTTTGGGACCTCTTAAAAAGTTCTGGTTTAAGTTTTAATAAGCCATTGATAAAACAAAAGCGGGCGTCATACATCTAAAGCAAGACATGAACATGTTTTCTAGATGTGTCTTGATATGTAGAAGTCGTCCAGAGTTAAATTTAAAAGATATAGTTGGTAACTTTGAACTTACAGCAATTCCACGATCGCTCTTCCACCCTGACGGGTCTATGATTCATTTACAGGGACAAAGTAAATTAATGTATATTTTAGCAGAAATTGGAAGCAAACAAACTTTGCATACCAACGCGAATGATAAAAATCAGTATTGCTATCATTGGTGGTATGGCAGAAGTACAGATACTTTCGCTGAGAGACTGTACGTATCTTTCTGACTTGTCACAGCATTTTTTAAACGAAGTATTCAAAAGGTATGGTTTATATTCTAAAATACACGTTATTTTTTATATATACATTAATGGCTCTCTGAAGTCTTCGGAAAGAATCAGAAGGCAAAGAACTACAGACCCTATACATTACCACTTTGACGGTAAAACTAATATACAGAATACTAACCTCAAAAAACTAATGTCCCATACATCAACCAAGGAAGACATATCCCATTATTTTTTACACAATATTATTGTATCTGGCAATAAGCATAACAAAAAAGTCGTTAGCTCATTTAAGAATACAGTAGTCTCCACGAAATAATATTGCATTCATTAGATGTTTTTAAAAGAAGAGTTAAAAAATTGAGAATATTTTCACTAGATACGAATGTATTGGTACTTGCTTTGAAAAGGGCGTCCTTATTACCTAATAACAGTGTATTTATTTGTATTTATTCTAACTGCCGTGAAATGCCATTACACCTAATATACGACTCCCTTGGCCAGTTAAAAGCTGAAGCACTTTCAGGTCTCCATGCCCTCTCGGGTGTCGATGTTACAGGAAGTTTCAAAGGAAAAACTAAAATTAGTTTTTGGAAGCAACCTCATCCACCCTTCAGGCGTTGGCAGCTTTGGGCAAAAGTGAAACGTTAAGTGACTCTGATATCGAGTTGATTGAATTGTTAATTGGTTCATTATATCCACCATTGAAGAAAAGTGTGACAAGCCTAGCAGAAATATTAAGATGGTGGTTGTTCACGCAGAGTCAAATGTCAACCGAAAATATGCACCCCACTCGAGCAGCATTGAAACCAGCAGTAGAGATGCCACTATCAGTGCATTAAGTGGAATCGGGATTCAGAGGCTCACCCTTATTTACCACCACCAACAAATTACAGTTGGAAATTTGGCAGTGATTAGTTTGAATTAGAACCAATTATGTGTAGTCTTTTCTGCGCACCTGAAGAAATAGTTAATACAATAAAATGTTCCTGTAAAAAACAATTGTTCTCAAAGATGCAAATGTTCTACACAAAATATACTTTGCACGGAAATGTGTGAATGTGGAGCTGATCCAGAATGTCGCTCAAATTTATGTTTTTTATTTTAAATAAATTCTAAAATAGGCTGTTATTTTATATTTTTTAGACTTGTCTTTGTCTTTTCAAATATACATAAATATTGAAAAATAAAAAACTTTTTGGAAGTATTTTGAACCATATTTTATAGCTAAAATATATTTTATCACGTAGGGGTAGTTTAACGGTAGCTTTCTCCCTTCTGTCACACCCCAATGATATTCGTAATCTACACATTTTTCCGAAAATTTTGATGTATAACACTATACTGCTTCACAAACTTGCACACGGAGTAGTAATTTAAAACTGACTATAAATTGTTTTTTTTTAACCCAATATTTATGTTTTCTTTTTTTTCAGATGTTGCAAATACTCTTCGTCACCATAGCATCTGTAGACGAATTAACAAAACTCTTAGGCCTACCGTCAGTTGTCAAAAATCTGTTTGGAAAAACCAGAGCGTTTCTCTTCAACGCCCTTCTCTTTCCCTGCACAGTACTTGTCATAGTGACTTTCTGGTCGATCTGGCACGTGGATAGAGAGCTAATATTCCCTAAGGAAATAGATGAATATTTCCCTTCGTGGTTGAACCACGTTCTGCACAGTTTCATTGGTATACCTATTTTGTTGGAATTGCTGCTACCAAAAAAGGATCATTTTATCGCATTTAAGCCTGCAGCTGTTACTCTTCTGTTATATTGTGGAATCTACCAGAGTTTGTAAGTATTTTTTTAATTCAATTTCGGAAATATGAAAATAAATAACCATCAATTCGCCCTACAAAATTATGAAAAATACACACCCATATCCCCAAAGTGAAAACCAACCAATCAAAAATTGATAAAACTAAGAAAGAAAGAAAAAATTAGTGCATCGATGCTTTTATCACTTGAGATAACAAAACACATGGCTTCGAGGCTTCGATATCCGAACTCGTTGATTTAAAGATCGGGTTCCGACTCTCGTGGGTGTGCACAGATTTTAATCCCATCCCAGCTCTCTCAATTCTTCTTAAAACCACCCTTGTGACATCGTGTAAAAGGTCGATAATCCTATTATACAAGAATACATTTCTAAGCTCCTTCATTCGTTCACCAGTATTCAGGTTTCGAGTGCGGTCCGCCGTAAACGTGAAATAAAATGGAAGAAAGTGAGAAAAATCGATTGAGATCCGAAAAACTGAAGTACAATTTTGGAAATATAAAAATAATAATTCTCACTTAAAGTAAAGAATACTCGTATTTTACAAATTTTGTGTAATTGGACTGTATATCACTTTATTTACATTAAAATACACAGACAAATAAATAATTATAAACAAAAAACCAAACTATAACAGTTAACATTTGGCATAGCTTGAACACGACACATCGTGAAGCGACATGACATCAGACATGACCACAGACATCTTATTTTTTTACAAGGAGTAATGGGCGACTCGAGGTTCGGTCTTGTGCGCACTCTTGCCTGAATATTCTCAATGACACAGGCATGAAATTACATCTCTATGACAATAATTATGCTCTCGGCTGACAAAGGGTGCCATAGTTACTAATTTGCAGGGCTGGACCAGCCCTGACTAATTTGCTATTTTTTAATGTACTAAAATATCAGCACCCCCTACGAAATTATGAAAAATACACCTACACATCACCAAAGTGAATACATCCCAGAAGAATTTAGTGATCTGATTGACTTAAAAGTTACTAGTTCGAATGTCGAAGCCATGTGTTTGGATAACTCAATTGGTTCCAAAGGTTCCAGTTTCGATCCCAAGTCGATACACTCATTTTTTTCTGTTATTCTCAGTCTTCTAATTTTTTTTTAGTTTGTTTTCACCTCGGTTTTAACTTCTTTCGACATGGGGGTGCATTTTTAATAATTGGGGGAATTGGGGATTATTTATTTTCATATTTCCAAAAATGCAGTTCACTTTTTCGGAACTCAACCGATTTTTGTCATTTTATTTTTTTAATTGTTGAGGTTGCAAATAAAAACCCGTTACTGAAATGCATGTATGGTGTCGAAATAAGAAAGGACGCCGACATGGGCATCCTTAGGAAAAAATAATTAATTGACGTTATAATTTTAAAAGTTACTTAAAAAATAATAATGAATTAACAAAATGAAAAGCCCCCTCCGAGCACCTATGGATGCCGACTATATTATACAGATTGACAATTTTTTGAGCCTTAGAAGCTGCTTAAATAAAGTAGATAATTTTGACACTTCTTACTGCGATTATAAAAAGTCACTTTATATGTCAAAATTAGAAAAAAATGTATTTAAAAACTAAGGGTGGACATATCTTTATCATCATAAAATATAACCAATATTTCAGATATTGTATTTCGTTTTATTTTTTTTTTAGGTATTTTTCGATCTACTTCAAAGACGGCGTATGGTTGTATCCTATTTACAAAGTCCTTGATTGGCCTCAACGTTTCATCTTCAATGTCATCCAAGTGGCCTTAATTTTAGGCTTCCAATATGTAGGCTTAGCAATTCAAAATAGCAAAAATACCAAAAAATCGAAACAAAAAGTCAAGTGA